CAAATGACTATTTCATATACATTTGAGACAGATTTATCATATTTTAATATCTACATAAATATGCTTTAGTTTACTGATACAGAAACATTAGAAAATTTGAAAGGCGTCAATTCATATCAGTATACATATTGATTAATGCCAAATCATAAATTAACGTGATACATGATGTTAAACTATACCATATACCAAAGTTTATCAACACTTGTTATTAATACATATATTGTTCAATGCCAAAATGTTGTTTAATATAATATATGCTATTGTACAATACCTGTATATTGATAACGTTACATATTATTACTTATTGAATACACCATTTTTAAAGAAAAATATTTTCTTATATTTGAAGTTTTAAGCTATAACAGTTATTATCACAATTTATTAAATACTAAATTAAAACATATATATATTATTAAAATATTTATTTTGTTTTTTAGCACGTTGAATTATATATATTAATTTTATAATTGATTTCACAGACATAAAGTTGTATGAATCTGTAAGTTATAATAATGAACATTCATATTTGTATAAACATTATTGATCATTATAATGAAAATTATACCATTTTATAAGTATAAAATCAAATAACATATAATTTTCAACATTAACATTAGAACCTAAATATAGAGCAACCAAATTATTATTCAGTATATTATTAATTTAAAATTTTTATTAAATAACATACCTTGTCAAAACTTGCATCGCATCTGTATTATATTTTTCATTTTCATCTTCACTTATATTGATTGATACATTGCTAAACAATGGCTCATTATAATACATACATTTTATTCTAATATAATTCTCGCTTGAAATATTAGTATAATTGTACTAATAAATTTTAGTATTTTAGTAATCATTTCTTCGGTTAAATCCTCATGTAAATCAAAAAATGAATTTAATGCTTGAAGAAAATGGTCTAATGCTGTTAGTGCTTTATAAGTCAAAGTATTTTTTGACTTATAATCACTGAAAAATTTTCTAAACAAAATATGCCTAAAAGGCATTTATTAACATTTTTTGATAACATTTATTGACAATTTTATTAGTATGCTAACGTAAGTATTTAACTATCAAACTTCAGTAAACCAGTGTAAAAAATTTAGACCAAAAATCATGTGCACAAGTTGTACTAAAAATAGAAAATTAATGCATGTATTACATAATATTTCCATTTTTATAAATAATTTATCCATTTTATATATAATTTATCTATTTTAGTAATTATTTGTGCACATTTTATGCTGTATAACATGTGCAAACAAAAATTTAATGTGCACATGTACACATTGTGCACGTGAATTTTACACATTGCAGTAAACCTATGATAGTAAAACGTAAGTTTGATTAGATAATATTATAACAAAATATAATACCAACTGTTCTAATTATTTGATCTATTGGTTGACGCTTGTTATTGACTCTGTAAGGTTTTTTTAACAGTGTTTTTATACAAAGATTCATACGTTTCTATTGTAAATCTGTTGATTGCTCTATATTCTTTAATTGCTAGAATGATATAATAACACTAATTATATAACTTTGGTAATTGAAGGTCTGATGGAGAAACAATAAAAATAGTTTTACAAAAGATGCTATCCAATTTGTAATCAAATTCTATAAAATGAAATAGAAATACATATTTTAACAGTCATATAATAATAAAATTAAGTCAAAATATAAAATCAAACATACCTTTAACTCTTCTAAATCTGATTCTAGAAATTGATTTCGTCGACCATATAAATACATCTTGTTCTAAAAATAATAAGCATCAACTAACGCATTATCATATTACCTAGTAGTATTCGTTTTTATTAACAATTTATGAAGCTTTATTATTATCTATTCAACTACAAAAAGAAAAACTTTCATCATGTTTTGAAATTCGTCAGCTGTAAATCATTTGATATTTTTCATGTTATGTTTAAATATTTTAAGCTCAGGGAATCTTAGGATTGATGACAAACATTTATTAAATTTATCAACTGCCACTTGGCTGCATAAATCTTTTAATAATTCCCTTATATATGTTACTTGGTATTTAAATAAACCTAAGTCAAGATGATGCATTTAGTCAGAAATTGTTGCTAAATAAATATTTAAATAACTATTAATAATATATTAAGACATTAGATTTAACACTTATATAATGACACTTAATTTACTGATATTTAAGTAAATATACTTATGTGTATTTTCAAAAAACATTTTTCATATTAAATAATAAATATTGATCCGCAATACCTTCATTAATAACAGCTTTCATAATTTCTGGCATTTTTAAAATAATTTGATTGTTTTCTAGGTTTGTATTATTAATTTCATCAACTTCTATCAAACATTTATAATATAGATATCTACAATTTAACAGAATTAAAAACTAAAATTAATGTTGCAACTTCTGGAAGGTTTTCTATTAGTACAGAAAGAAATGGATAATACCATAATTTATTATTATTTATTCAAAGATCAAATCTACTATTTTGATAATTAAGTAATGATCACATCAATATATCTAAAGTATATTGATAAAGAGTTCATTTTACTAATTTAAATTTTTTAGTTTTCCTTTAAGAAATAGTTTTCACCTTTAATTATAGTAGATACCTTAAAAGAACTTTGGCATCAGGTTTATTCCTAATTCAGCTAGAAATATTTTCTAATGTTAAGTAAATAGGATGTTCGCTAAATTTGCCTAAAAAATCACAAGTTGTTGTGTCTGAGTATAAAATGATTTACAAAATAATTTTGTATCCTTTTCTATTGCCTATTATATTATTCATAATAAATTCTTTGTCCTTCATGATACATTACCTTAAATTCAAAAATACAATATTTGAATATATTTTGATTGCTTAATAATTCCTTTATAGTATCAAAAATTTGATAATAATAAAGGTAATATATTTCTTCATCGTATATCATAATAGGAACTTTGTTAAAAGAGATATGTGGTATATTTATTCGATCTAATAACTAATGGCCTTATTTTACTGATGAAGGTAAATTTGTATCATCATGGTAAATCTTTCATAAAAATTTGAGTATATTACTACCGCATACATCTGATAAGTTCCACTTGATAAGCAATTCCATAAAGTCTTCAAATTCTTCACTTGAAAATTCTGGCTTATTTATTGTTGAACTTCTAACGTTAATAGACTCAAAGGTTAGAATTGATTTAACATTAATTAACTTGAAATTAATCTCAATATCATTTTCTGTATTGTTCTCCTTCTCCTAATATAGTCTATAATCTAATAAATTAGGAAGTATATATTTTGTACTACTAACAAAGTATAAATTAACGAAAATTTTACTTGATTATCAGAATCAATCAACTTCTCTTCTTGAATATCAACCAACTTTTTATCTTAAATATTATTCAATTCTTTTTAAATGTCACCTGCTCTTGAACTTTATCTAACTTTTCATTCTGAATATCAACTAACTTAAAAGTATACTCTGAATCTAATCAATCTGGATATCCAGTCATCCATCTAAAATTTGATCAGATTCAGATTAATCTGTTATATCACCAGATTGACCAGATTGACCAAATAGATTATCAGATATTCAGTGAATAAATTCAATGATCAATTTGACTTAAGTAAGCATAAATTCTTTTTTTATTTTTATTTTTTTTTTACAATAACGATAATATTAAATCTATATATTATATTACTCATTCACTCTCTCACACATATATATGCATACATACACACACACATACAACACATACACACACATACACATAAATACACACTCTCTCTTTTTCTTTCCTCCTGGATCTTTTACTTCAAATTTTAACTTGAATAGCTTGAATTCAAATGGTAAATGCAAAATTCTTCCTTTTTTTGTCTTGAAAATGTTACTAACTTTTATTTTACTTTTTTTCTTTAAGGAATGCCTTCTTGGACCTAAATTTCAGTTGGGCTATAAAGGTAAGTTAGTGTTTTTATTTTTTCTATTATTAGAAATATCATTAACATTTTTTTTACTTCTTTTCTTTAGGGAATACCTTCCTGGATTGGATTTCTGCTTAGGCTATAAAGGTAAGGGATTGTTTTTGATTTTCTTTATCTTTAGAATACCATTAACATTCCTTTTGCTTCTTTCTTTAGAGGACGCCTTCCTAAACCTGGATTTCTGCTTGGGCTATGAAGGTAAGATGTTGTGGGGATTCTTTTTTGTCTTTAGAATGCCATTAACGTTCCTTTTGCTGTTTTTCTTTAGGGAACGTCTTCCTGGACCTGAATTTCGACTTAGACTATGAAAGTAAATAGTGTGAAGAATTGTTTTTGTTTCTTATTTATCTTTGAAATACTATTAACATTTTTTTGCTGCTTTTCTTGTGAGATTTTTGTTTTTCTTTGTCTTTGAAACGCTATTAACGTTCCTTTTGCTTCTTTTCTTTAGGAACGCCTTTCTGGACCTGAATTTCAGCTTGAGCTATAAAGGTAAGGTGGTGTAGGAATAGTTTTGTTTCTTTATCTTTGGAACGCCATTAATTTTTCTTTTGCTTTTCTTTAGAGGATGCCTTCTTGGACTTAGATTTTGGCTTAGTTTATGAAGGTAAGGTGGTATGAGGATTGTTTTTGTTTCTTTATCTTTAGAATGCTATTAACGTTCCTTTTGCTTTTTTTCTTGTAGTTTTATTTTGTTTTTCTTTGTCTTTAGAATACTATTAACGTTTCTTTTGTTTCTTTTCTTTAGGGGATGCCTTCCTGAACCTGGATTTCAGCTTGGACTATAAAAGTAGAATTCTGAATTTGACCTAATGGATTAGATGACCTGATGGGTTGACCTGAAAATTTTAGGTCAGATCTACAATTTAATGATCTGATATCAGATCAGGTTAAGTTCTTAATCTGATCTGTTAGATCTAGATCAATTTATAATAAAATTTACTAATTATATTATTAATTGATCGTTAATCTTTTTTTATCATCTTTTTTTCATATCTTAAATACTTTCATTCTCAAGTATATAAAATGTTTAACAAAAATTTTTCAAAACGTCCTTATTATGAAATTAATTCAGACTTAGAAGAGAACACTTCTAATGAAGAACTCAACTTAGATAAAGAAAGTAATGGATTTTCAGAAAAATCAAATTCTATTTTAAGCTCACTAGACGAAAATGATAAAAAAAATGAAAGTGCTGTGTGGGACTATTTTGATAAATTTGTAGATAATAAAGGTATTATATGGGCAAAGTGTCAATATTGTTTGTAAGAGATAATACAAGCATTTTTGAATAATTTTGTCTGCATTTCTACA